GTGTGTGTGTGTGTGTGTGTGTGTCCAAGATCCCAAGAGGAGAATGGAGAAGAAGGGATTGCGGCGTGGCCATCCCCCCTGGGGGTGATCTCTCGCTTTCTGTTTGTTTGTCTGGTGAGCGCATGCGCCCTATAGCAAAAACCTCTCAAAAAAAAGGTGGGCTAGGCAGCAACAAGGGATTCCTTGCCCCAGGGGGTCTGTGCTTTTTGGCACAGAGCCCATCTAGGGCTTTGCTGTGTTGGAAAAATTATTCCTGAAGGATAGCCAAGTCCAGGGATGTGGGGTAAGCGGTCGGCAGCCACAGCTACAGACAGTGCTGGTGAGGCGGCTGGGGCTCCTTTGTGCCCCACCTCATGTCTGCTGTGCCACAGGGCAGGGAAGGAGCCCCAGGACCTGCAGCCTGTTTCAGAAGATCTCAAATGGAATGGCTCAGAAGCAGAGAAGCTGGGAGGGGCAGAAACCTGCTTCCACAGGGGCCTCAGGCAGAGCTTTGAGGGCCACTGGCTGCCCTTTGAGGACAGCTCAAGGGAAAAGTGACTGATATTTCCTAGGAACAACATCTGTTCTGACCTCAGGTGTAGGAACAGCCCTGCCACAGGTGGTCATCTTGTCCCCTCCTCCCCACCACACGCTTCCCCATGACTTCTCTGCAGGTCAGACAGCCATGCTGGCCAGTTTAAGTCACTCTAAACTGGGTTGAGGCCAGAACCCTTTCCAAGGATAGAGAGCCCACCAGTTTGTCCCCCTAGGACCTGAGGGGCACTACTACAACAGACTGTTCTGCTTCTGGTCAGCAAAGAGCACAGCAGCCCTTGCCAAGGAGTCTAGAAAATGGAAGGACAGAAACCAGCCACCAGGAATGTGTCCCTCACATGTGGGGCTCCAGTTCTGATCTGGGGCTGCTCACCTGAATGCTGGGTGGGTTGGAGGGTATGGAGGCCGGTTCTTGGTGTCTAAGGTGCTCCTCAGGAGACTGGGCTAGCGACATGGAGCTGGGGGGTGCTGGGAAGTGGGGCAGATGGGAGGAGGTGTCAGGGGCTTCCCAGAGGGCCAGGGCAGGTGAGGAACTGGTGTTTGTGCTGTGGCCCTGCGATGTGTTCCTCTGCCATGACTTGGTGGGTACCCAGCCCTTGGTCCTGCCTCCTAGGATGCAGCCCCCCCAGGGACCCCATTCTATCCAGGATGCCTGAGACAACCTCTCGCGGGACTCCTCCCACCTTACTAGTCTCTCCAGAAGCCCCCAGCACTAGCACAGCCCCCGCCCCCTTTACCCATCTCCTGCACATCAGCATCGGGCTCCTCCTTCACACTGCAACTGAGCTGGCCAGGTTCCTCCATCCCAGAGTCCTGAGGACCCTCTCCAAGGGCTGACCCAGGTGGCTCCATTATCCCTGAGGAATGAGGGTTCCCCAAGGACTCTTCCTTCTGGGCTGCAGGGAGCTCCTTCTGCTTCAAGATGTGGGCTGTGATCTAAGAAAAGAGAAGTCATAAGGGTACTAGCCTGTCTGTCCTTCCAAGAGGCCAACATACATCACACTCACCCAGTCCAGCAGCTGCCCAGGGTCATGCTGTAGCCCCTCAACCAGGGCTGCGGCCTCTTCTGGGCTGCTAGGCTGCTGACCTCGAACCCAGGCCTGGATCTCTGGAGGCAGAGTGACCAGGAACTGCTCCAGCACCAGCAGCTCCAGCATCTGCTCCTTGGAGTGTGCCTCTGGCCGCAGCCACTGGCGACACAGTTCTCGGAGCTGGGCCAAGGCCTCTCTGGGCCCAGCTGCCTCCTGGTAGCAGAATCCCCGGAAGCGCAGACGGGCAGACTCTGGCTCCTCACGAGTGGTTCCGGGGTCCCTGGGGGACAGGTGTGGGGGGGTATCCAAAGGGGATGACATTCTTGTGGGCCGGATGCCTTCTTGGACCTACCAAGAGGGACCTAGAGAAGAGGAGAGGTCAAATGTCAGGAAATGGTTGCTGGCCAGGGAAAGGCAGACATCAAGTCGAGCCCTGGGGGCAGAGGCCAGGACAGACAGGACCCTGAGAGAGGGTGGGCCAGGCCAAACATCGTTGGGAGGGGTCACAAGGGCAGACTGCTGATAGGAACTGAGAGCAAGAGGAAGCAAAGTTATCAGGGAGCTTCCAGGAAATTGCAAACATGGTGCCATAGGAGCTCATGAGATGATGGCGGAGAGGTGGGCAAGGGGGTTCATCACAGGCTTGCAGGGTCAAGCTGAGGGACGAGAACGCGCCCAGCAGCGGCAGGCAGGGCGTGGCGGGTGGGCAGGAGTGCCCCGTCTGGAAGCGCAGCCCAGGGGTGGGCAGAGCAGGCTGAGTCCGGGCGGTCTGTAGCGAGAGCCGGTATACACTGGGAGCGGCAGCCTGGCTCTGCGGACCGGGCGAACAAGCACTGCTGGGGCTCCCGACACCCGCGGAGGTCAGCGGGCGTCGCGCCGCCGGGCCGGTGCACGTGGCGTCGGGTTAGGGGTCGTAGCCCGCCCTCGCAGGCCCAGGTGGGGCGTGCGGGCCCGAGGGGCCGTTAGCCCGGCCCGCAGAGGGGCTCCCGGACTCAAGGTCTGGCCAAAGCGGGAGCGTAGGTCCATTTTAGCGAGGGCAGGGCTGCGCGCGGGAGGCCGGGACGCGGGGAGCAGCGCCCCCACCGCCCGGCCGGCGCTCAGGTCAGGCGCCTCGCGGAGCCCGAGCAGACTTCCGGGAAGTGGCGCCGCACCCGCCCCACCCACGCGTTGCCCGGGAGACGGTCCTTCTCTTGGACTACGTTTCCCAAGAGCCTCAGCAAGAGAGGAGGGCGCGACCCCGGGCCGCGGTTGAGAGGCACTCGGTTCCTGCTAGAGGAACCCGCGGGGTCTCAGCCTGGGGGCTTCCCTCCGCCCGGCGGCCGCAGTAGCTTCCCGCCGCGTGCCCGGACTCACCGATTGCCGAGCGCGCCAGCACCTCGGTCCTGCGCATGCGCACCGAGAGCAAGAGCCGGCCACCCTTGGGAGGCGGGGTGCGGCCACCCGGCCAATCAGAGTCCGGTGGTGCCCAGATCCGCCCCAGAGACCCCGGGGACCGCTGCGCCGCCTCTGTCGCCGCTGCATTCCCGCCTCCAGCCGCTTCTATGGCAACTGCCAAGCGTCGCAGGCAGTCCCGGGAGGCCAAAATTGGTCAGGATCCTGTGGTTCACCGAGACTCGTCTCCCGGCTGGGAAGGCCAGCCTGATTTCTGGGCTATCGCCCTCGCCCTTCTCCGTGCCATCCCCTTTAACTGCTCTGTAAGCATCTGGGGGCAGCGGCGACCCAGTGGGTCTTACTGATGAGACTGACCTTGACATGCCATATGTCAGAGACATCGCTGACATATCTTCAGCTATCAATACAGATTGAATATCCGAAATACTTGGGATTAGAAATGTTCCGTTTCGGGACTGGCAGGTGGCTTGGTGGTTAAGGTGGCTGGGCTCCCACATGCTTAACGGTGGTTTGGGTCCCAGACCAGGCAGCTTGCTCTTCTCTGCCTGTCTCATTCCGGTCAACGTCAATAAAATTGAATAAATAATTACAATGAATCAAATTATTCTTTTTTTTTTTTTTAAAGGAAGGGACCAGCAGATGGTGTAATGGCTACGGCACTGGACTCCCATGTAGTCGCCCGCAGTTCGAGGCTCGGACCCGGTGGCTTAAATTCATGGGCGCATGTGTGTGCGTGCCCAAGATCTCAAGAGAATGGAGGAAAAGGGATTGTGGCCATTCCCCCAGAGGGTGATTTCTCGCTTTCTGTCTGTCCCTGTCTTTCTGGTGAGTGCACACTCTCTATAGCAAAAACCTCTCCAAAAGATAAAAAAGATATTTTTGTCAGGAACTGGCAGGTGGCATGGTGGTTTAAGTGCCAGATTCCCATATGGCTGACTACGATTTGAGTCTCAGACCTGTCGGGGTTGCTTTCTCACTTTTTCTGTCTCTGGGTTACATTGAAAAAAAAAAAAAGATGAATAAAATTAAATAAAATAATTCTAGAAAAAAGTTTAAAAATAGAAATTTTCAATTTCAGAATATTTAATGTATATGAGTTATCTTTGGGATGTGACCCAGTCTATTTTTAAAATAATTATTTTATTTATTTATTTTAATTTGACCAGAGAGGGACGGAGGCATGGGGAGGAGAACCTGGTGAGAAAGCAAGACACCAGGTCCAGGACTTGAACCTTGATCAGCCATGTGAGAGTTCAGTACCCTTAACCACCATGTCATCTGCCAGCCCCAAGGGATAGGATCCAATCTAAGCATGGACATTTATGTTTCATGTACATCTTATACACTAGTCTGATTATATAATTTAATTCACTATAGGACATGTGTGCTCACCAGGGAGAGAGTGAGCGAGAGCACCCCCCCCTAGGGGGAGATGACCATATTACAATCCCTTCTCTATGCTCATCTAAGAATTTTTGGCATGCATGCACAAACACCTGGCATGTTTTTTTGAAGCCACTAGGTCTGGTGTATGAACTGCAGTCAGTCATGTGGGATCCAGCAGCCTTAACCAGCACCCAACCTGCCTGGCTCATAGCCTGATTATATATATATTTTTTGTATTGCAGCCTGGCACATATGGTCAGGTTTGGAGTTTCCACTTGTGGCATTATGTCAGCACTCAACAAGTTTGGATTTCTGGAACATTTTGTATTTTTGCATTAGGGCACCTCAACCTTTTCTGCAAAGTGAATGATGGAGGTTTCTGTACAGGTTTATGGAACATGCTGAACTTTTATTTACTGTAGAACTAGAGTAATCTTTAGTTTCTTCCAGTAGGGTATACTAACATGTTCTAAATATGACTGTGGGATGGGATCAGTTTTGTTTCCAGATATCAAGAGGCTGAACCGTGATTTACTTAATCCCAAATTGCATCTACTTATTTTGGTTTCTTATGAAGCCTGGGAAATCCCTGGCTCTCTGCTTTCGAAGACCTTAAACACTGATTAGTTCTGAGCATGTTAGAGGGTGGGACTTGCCAACTCTGAGCTTCCTAGTGGTTCCATCAGATTGGGCTATTTGAGTGTTAGGGGGCTTAGATCTTTTGTTACTGTGTAGGTTTTCTAGAAACAACCCTTTCACCATCTACTGGCTGTGGAGAGTGAGGGGACTTTGAAGGTTTTTGCAGTAGCTCCTGCCCAGGCAGCTTCACTATAGGTTTCTCCTCCCTGGTCTACCGATGCCCCAGCCTTCTGGCATTCTGCAGCCCCAAACTTGGTTGGACCTCTTCACTTCCCAGTGCCAGCTCAGTGTCTGTCTCTCCTTAAGTTAGCTTCCACACCCCCTTGTAGGTTTAGAATGCCATTGCTCTCTTTCACCATCCTCATCCTTGGGAACCAGCAGTTAGCATAATGGCTATGTCGCTGGACTCCCACGTAAGTTGACCGCAGTTTGTGTCCCGGACCTGGTGGCTTAGAACTCAGGCTGGGAGCGTGTGCGTGTGTGCCCATCCTCCCTGGGGGGTGATTTCTCACTTTCTGTCTCTAATGTCTCTGTCTGTCTGGCAAGCGCACACGCCCTATAGTGAAAATCTCTCCAAAAAAATCAAAAAACAGAAAACAAAAAAACCACACACACAAGCCTCATCCTTGTGGGTCTATATGCTGTAAACACCCCTCTGTAGTTTGAGCAGATTTCTGAGCCAAGTGAAATGCCTATGTTTGGCCCAACATTTTGACCCAGAGTGCCCAGGGACAGTTTTATAATCAAAACCTACTTGGGACCAGCAGATGGTGTATTGGTTACATCACTGGACCCCCATGTAGTTGACTGTGGTTCAAGTCCTGGACCCAATGGCTTAAAACTTACTCCAGATGTGTGTATGTGCATGCCCAAAATCCCGAGAGGTGAATGAAGGGATTGTGATGTGTCCATCCTCCGGGGAGGTGATTCTCACTTATCCCTGTCTCTCCAGTGAGTGCATGTGCTCTACAGCAAAAATCTCTTCTAAAACCCCCCACCTATTTAGATTTAAGGCCAGCCCAACATGGTGGGGGGCAGGGAAGGGGAGGAGCAAATGAGGGAGAGGGGCTAGGTATGCAGATGCAGAAGTCCAAGATAGGGGCCACCCACCTGAGCATTGGGAGGGGCAGATTTGAGGAGGGTAGAAGAGCTGAGACAATGGGCACAAGTACTGAGGCAGGACGGAGCCTGAGGGAGGGAGGCTGTGGGGAGAAACGACAGAGTACTGAGTCCAGTGGAGGGATCAGATGGGTCCAGGCAGAACTCAGTTCCAAGAGCTTTCACCCAAGGTCCAGAGAAGATTTCATGCGATTGACTCTCTGGGCACCAACTTGTTCACCTGAATGCAATGCGTACCCAGAAGGGTACTGCGTGGGCAGGATAGGGCTCATCCATATTTCACAGCTCCATAGAGTGGGTCTATCCAGGAAGGATGGACAGTGGATCAGGACCCAAAGGACCTTTTCCTGAAGACTCAGCTCAGAGGACCTGCCTTCCAGGGTCTGGGAAGCTGGGTTTTATCTCCTCATTGTAGGACTTGAAAGGACCAAGGGGGCAAAAGATGGTCTGACTCTGATGGCAGGAGGGGCACTATCTCAAGTCCTTGTGTATAGGGATGGCTCCAAGGCCCAGGAGGTGACTGGATGGGGGCACCCACTGGAGCAAACTTTCCAGGTCACCACATGGCCACAATGACACAGCAGGTGTGCACACCTGCCAGTCTCCCCTCCCACAGCCTGGGTCTGAAGGGCTGTCTCTCAGCACAGCTGCTGCTCAGGGGCAGCCTCTCCCTGATTGCCTCACTCAGGTCTCCTGGCCACCCCCGCACCTCTGCCCACGGGTGGATGCAGGTGTCCCAGTCCCTACGGGGCTGCACATAGGCTGCCTCTCTCCCTTGTGGGCGTCAAGCCTCTGGCAGGGACACAGCCTGATGGCACATCTGCTGATGTCCATTCCATGTTGTCTGCGGGCACTGGACTGTTGCTGTTCACACAAGTGTTGATGAAGAACTACACTCTTGTTAAGGCCTGAACCACGCCCTGGAACTGGGATTGGCAACTGTGGACTTCCATGGTGCTGTGCAAGAAGTAAAACCTGCATCCATTCCAAGTTGGGGACATTAGTCTTTTTTTCCTTTTCCCAGTAAAAAGACCATCAATTTTTCTGGAGGTGAGGTCCCAGGCTGGGATGGGACCTGGTCTGCTGAAGGCCACAGGAAGCAAACCGGATTCCCACTCTGGCCTCTCATTGTGCTAGGGCATTTTACTGGGAGTTCAGGAGTGTACCACGCTCAGCCTTCGATGCAGAAGTCCTTCCTGTTCAGCAATCTGTCCACCTCCATTTAAGGCAGGAAAACAAGTAGGCTGTGGCTACAAACTCAACAACAAGTCACCCAGCTTGTCTCCTCTGCAGCTGTCACCATCAGCTGGGATGGAAAGGCTACTTGTTACATCTTGGTCACAAGAGTCAGCCTCAGGACTTGGCCAGCGCTGAGGCTTGCAGGAAAATGGGAACAGGTGCAGCTGGGCCTCATCATTCTCTATCCATCTTGCCAACATGGAGAGTCACATTTTCCTCCAGGATCCTGTGAGTGCCATGTATGGGGAGCCAGTCCAGCACAGGGTGAGGCATCTGGGGGATGGGCCAGGCCACCTGGCCTTGAGTCCTGACTCTGTATGCTGCAGGCAACTCTCTTTCTCTCTCTGGGCCTCAAGTTTCCCCATCTTCACAGTGGCAAGATCAGACACAGCCCTAAAAGGCTG